GTCTGGTCACTTATCTTTCAATTTCTTTCCAATTTTTGGTGGGTTAACCAATTACATTTTTAATTATTCCCACAAAAAAAGTCACCCCCCAAAAAGTGATTTTTCCGAAGTCTGATTCCAGCCATTTTTCAAGTGGCAACCCTCAACTTTCTCGGGCACTTAGGACCATTTTTCAACCGTAGTTTTTAGCCCTTCTGCTCTCATATGAAAGCTCAAAGACCCAGGGAGATGATCCTGGCAACGATTTACACAATCTCACCATTTTGGGGGCCAAACAATCTCCTTTTTCAAAAGATACTGTGGGTGGGGGCACTTTTAATGCTAATGAGCTGACCAGAAATTCTCACTTGAATTAGTGGTCTGCACCCATAGGGAGCGCGTACATCCCGCTCTTTGAAAATGCTGCACGCGCGCACGTGATAAAAACCGCAACGGTACACCACCTCAATTGAAAAAAGGAGAGTTACATCTTTTTCATTTAACTTTTCATGGTTCACCGTTGCAATGTTTCGTCTGAAACCCAACGAGACAGTGAAAAGAGGTCGGACAGAATTGCGTACTCATCATGTAGCCATGTAGCCCTTCAGACCGAATACAAAACTTCATTTAACAAACCACTTGCAACCAGGAAATAACGAGCCCAGGGAAGCCGCTGACTGGGTGCTTCACGTGTATACCATGCATGTGTACATGTAATTGGAATGTGGCCTTTCTTCCAAAGCTTTTCTGCGTGCCGAGGTGAGGTCACCAAGTCGGGCCCACTGATCACATATAGTCTTGCAACGAGACTTGATGGGTACGAAATCATGATACTCCAGGGCACTGAGGAAAGCAAAGGGAACGAAGAACTAAGAAGCATACTACTCTTAGGCATTATATGTATTCATTAATATACAGCACTGCTATCGTCTTAAATTAAGAGTTGTAATTATACAATTCCTGCATTTTATCTTAACCTTAGTTTAATTGATAATTGTGGTTAATATATAATAATAACGCTTTCCTCTTCATAAACTCAATTTTTGTCATTTCGCTGAATGTTAATCGTGCTAATCTTAAAGGTAGTCTTCTTCAATATGACTAGGAGACTAAAATACATACACAGCTACATTCAACACGCGCGGACGGTCAACCGGGGATATGTGACTCGTTACGGGTGCGCTAATCTTACACATGTAGTGTGGACTTGTGAACAAAAGATGTCCACACGATGCAGGAAAGGAAGACGTTCTGTGGACTTACACATGTCCACAGGACGTTTCCCCTTCTTTGAAAAAGAAGTTTAGAGGCATCTTGGTGAATGGGTCATCTGTAGTAAAGGAAGAGAAATAGTCTAAGAAACCTTGTGCAAAAGCCCGCCGAGAATCGTCTTCCCGGTTCAAGAAAAACGAGTATTTTCACTGAGTTTTCTGAACTGCACGAAAAGAAAAGAATGTCCTCAGTAGGTATGTAAGGTAAGTGTGGTGTGTGTTTTGCTTTGGTTAATCGTTTCTCAAGACTTTCACTGGTTTAACATTCGTTTAAGATGTCTGGGTCTATTTGATCCTTTCTTGACCAACAGCTGTTGGCGTTAGGGACAATGCAGACAGTGCTTTTCAGTGATGAAATCCCTGTGAAGGATGCAGCCATTGATATCTCGTCGTATGGTCATCTCCATGAGATTGGCCATCTGCCTGCTTACGAACGTGATAATATTAAAATAGATTTGTTATTGGGCCAGGATAGTGAAGAGGCCCTTGTCCCGTTAGAAGTTAGGCGAGGGGACTCCGGACAGCCTTTCGCCGTGCGCACCTTATTTGGTTGGTGTTTTAATGGTCTGTCTCCCATGAGTGTACCAAGTCGTAGGGTCATCTCTAACCTCGTAGGCCTATACCTATA